TGCATATTAATTTGTTCTTATTGTTTTTGCTATTAGATTAACTTGAGAGGTTTGGATGGTATTCAAGGTCCTGTGTATGTGGGTACTGGATGTGTCTTCAACAGAACAGCTTTGTATGGTTATGAGCCTCCTCACAAACCTAAGCAGAAGAAATCTGGGTTTCTCTCTTCCTGTTTTGGTGGGTCAAGAAAGAAAAGTTCTAAATCAAGCAAGAAGGGGTCAGACAAAAAGAAATCTAAAAAGCATGTTGATCCCACTGTTCCAATTTTCAGCTTGGAGGATATAGAGGAGGGTGTTGAAGGTATTGTTTCTGTTTAAGTCACTATACTTGAGTTCCTACTTTTCCTACTTGCATTTTGTTATTTCTAAAGAAAACATAATGACATTATGTATTTGATAGTAAGGCACAAAAAAGTTACATGCATCATGTCCAATGTTGTGTAATTAATTTTTAGATTTTGTGGGTGAAAATTGATCCAGGAATGCTACCTATAAAAAAAGAAAAATTGATCTGGGCATGTAATATTGTTAATTAGACTATAGCAATGGATGCTGGGAACCCATGCAGCCTCTGTTTGAGCCCCATTCTTTAAAACTCAATTTTCTCCTAACTATTTTCAATCACACATTCTCCAAGTAAAATAAATTTTCATGTAAATCCAAAACCTGTCCCTACTTTTTTGACCACACACACTCCAAAAAAATCACTTTTATGAAATCTATTCTCAAAAAATGGGGCTCAAACAGGGGCACTGTTAACTTGTGTTTTATAATATAGTACTTTTACGTGACTAAAATAAAGGGGCAGAAGGGTATTGCAAGAGCATTTTTTAAGTGCAATACTACAAGTATATAAATTTCATCTATTCTTTGCTCGGGGTTTTGAGGCTAGTCCCTGTAATTTCACCTGGATTGTTACTCTTTGGTGTTCTTTTCTTTTATCTTTTCTGCTTGTTATTTTTTGTTGTCTGGTTGGGACTTTTGAGGTTATTATTGGATCATATGAACTGGCTTCACAATGGGCCAATGAAGTGCTGTAATGCAACTGTTGGGTGTGGTCCATGCCCATTGTGTACATCTCACATTTCTAATCAGCATTGTTTTCACACTTAAATGTGCATACAAATTTTTGTTGAATCCCAATGTTAACCACATTCTTTCGAATAAGCTCGAGATCTTCTGTCTCCTTTTCTTTTTCTAAACATTCTTATTTCATGATCTGCCTGGTTTTCCCGAGTCTTGGCTCACTCATTGCTTATCAGCGTATTGAATTTTCACCTTTTGTCTTCTGCACGAAAGGAAGATGCCGACAAGGAACTTCCTCCACGAGTTTCATTTTGTTAGCTTTTTCATTTTATCTCTTTGTTAATTCTTCCCTCTTTTGATTAAAATCAGGTGCTGGATTTGATGATGAGAAGTCGCTGCTTATGTCCCAAATGAGCCTTGAGAAAAGATTTGGCCAGTCTGCAGTTTTTGTCGCATCCACACTAATGGAGAATGGTGGCGTTCCTCAGTCTGCTACACCAGAGACTCTTTTGAAAGAGGCCATTCATGTTATCAGTTGTGGGTATGAAGATAAAACGGAATGGGGAAGCGAGGTAAATTGGCATTTTTGTTAATTTCTATTGAAGTTCCTTCTCCACTGCACTATCTCATGTTACCATTGTTTCGGTGCTGTCTGTATCCAGCAAAATTTATGTTTGAAGTAGATCTTTAGGACATATATGCACAGTTTTCTTCCTATTATATATCTACCACTTCTCAACCGGTTCGATATTTAGAAATTTATTTAAACATACTGGTGCTGGATATTAGGAGGCAGTGCTGTCTAGGAGCCCCTTTTAGGTCCTCTACTCGAAACAAGTAAATCCCGTAAATATCATGTTTCTATAAACAGTGCGTTTCCCCTTTTGCAGATTGGATGGATTTATGGTTCTGTTACAGAAGATATTCTTACTGGATTCAAGATGCATGCTCGTGGTTGGCGATCAATTTACTGCATGCCTGCTAGACCAGCCTTCAAGGGATCAGCTCCAATTAATCTTTCCGATCGTCTCAACCAAGTGCTTCGATGGGCTTTAGGATCTGTGGAGATTTTGTTTAGCAGACACTGTCCTATATGGTATGGCTATGGGGGAAGGTTGAAGTGGCTAGAGAGGTTTGCATATGTCAACACCACAATTTACCCAATCACTGCCATTCCACTTCTTTTTTATTGTACTCTGCCAGCAGTCTGCCTTCTCACTGGAAAGTTTATTATTCCACAGGTTGGTTTCATCTCCCGGCAAATTTTCTTTTTAAACACCTATTTGAACTTAAATGATCACTCCTACAATTTTATACTTCAATACCTTGCAGTGGCCACTAGATATATAAATACAAAGTAAATGTCACACTGCCTCGATCATGTTATCATGTTTCTGCCTTAAACTGTTTATTCTGTGAAGCTAACTTAGCCCCAATTTGGCTCCCATTTTTTCTCAAACTCATTTTCGACCACACATTTTCATGGGATCCAAAATTTTTATCACTTCTCAACCATACATTTCATCAATTTTTTTTATCTCTAATCCTCCATGAAAAGTAAGAAATTCCACATATTTTGACCAATTCATCAAAATCTCCAAAAACAATTTGATTTTAGCAAAACGAAACTGGGGCTTAATGACTCAACTACACTCTCAATTGGAAATATAACAATATAACCAATAAGGGCTTAATATCCCAACTATATTCAGTTGTAAATATAACAAAATAACCAATATGCTAGCATTTTATCGTTGTGCCTTCAGAAACTTACATGAAATTGGCAGGAATTTGATTTCATAAATATTAAATGTTACTTTGTATTGCAGATTAGTAACTTCGCGAGTATTTGGTTTATATCCCTCTTTCTTTCCATCTTTGCTACTGGCATACTGGAGATGAGATGGAGTGGTGTGGGAATTGATGAATGGTGGAGGAATGAACAGTTTTGGGTCATTGGAGGTGTTTCAGCTCATCTTTTTGCCGTCTTCCAAGGTTTACTCAAAGTGCTTGCTGGAATAGACACCAACTTCACTGTCACATCGAAGGCCTCAGATGAAGACGGAGATTTTGCCGAGCTCTACATGTTCAAATGGACAACGCTCCTAATACCTCCCACAACTCTCCTCATCATAAACTTGGTGGGTGTTGTTGCAGGAATCTCCTATGCCATCAACAGTGGTTACCAGTCATGGGGTCCACTCTTTGGAAAATTGTTCTTTGCCTTCTGGGTGATTGTTCATCTCTATCCTTTCCTCAAAGGTCTTATGGGCCGCCAGAATCGGACGCCTACTATTGTTGTCGTATGGGCCATTCTTCTTGCTTCCATCTTTTCATTGTTATGGGTGCGAGTCGATCCATTCACCACAAGAGTCACTGGCCCAGATGTCGAGCTGTGTGGAATTAACTGTTAAGAGTCGAAATGCCTCACATTTGAAAGTTTGACCTTGGATCCTCTGAAGAAATAAATGTTCGGGAGGTTGCCATGCGATACTTGCACGTTTCAGTTTCATCTACTCCATCTTGCTGTATGTTTTTGCCTATGCGAAAATCACATTTGTTGTAGAGTTGATAGCTTCATTTTTTTTTTTTTTTTGGTTGGTTGTCACAAAAATAATTACAAAACAGAAGCCTTTATGTTATTAAAGAGACTGGTGAAAGAATTGTATGTTGTTTCAGAATTTGTCCCAATGCTTGATGAAGTATTGTAAGTCATAAGTTAACAACATTTCTCATCCTTGTAATGAACTTTATTAGTTTGATTCAGTGTATTCTCTAAATCGTCATTAATTGTTTGAGGTAATAGACTTATGTTTCATCTTCGCATGACGTTCTGTATGTAAATATTCATTAGCTATGAAATATACAGTCAAGTAGCTACATCTATGTTTATTCAAGTAGTTACATATATGTAACATTAACTTTAGTTTCTTCACTTCTTAAAGCCATTATATCTCTAATTTTTTTTAGTTCAGAAAATCCTCCCGAGTCTAAGGTTGTAGCCGATAATTTCGGTCTTGAAAGTTGATTCCTGTTGTAATTCGTTTGTTCGCATGTTTCACATCAGTAAGTTGGTTTTAGAAGTTATAGTGTGTGTTTTTGAGTCGCGTTTGTTTTTCTAGCCTTGTGCTAATGGGGAGTGATTAAGTGACTGTAGTGGGAAGTGTTCGCTTGTCTCATCTCGTCTTGGTGCAATTTAGATGCACAAGATGAAAAACAAACTTCACAATTTATATTGAAGTCATGCTACTTGTACAGTAAAAAATTGTTAAGACTTTTTACGGGATTAATTGGCATCATTTTTTTATCAGATTCGGTAAAAAACAAAAAAATACAACCATACAGGTGTTGTCAAGTCCTCGGCAACTATTAAAACTCATCTATATTGGTTTTGCAATATGAATTAGAATAATTCTAGTCAAACTGGGGCCGTGATTTGGCTCCCCCTAGTGGAGGGGGCGCCAACGGGCTATGAATTAGGTTCTTGGGTTATTGATAAAAACAGCTTCCTCACAAGCCGACTCGGCATCAGCGGCTTCGTGCCGCACTGGAGTGATCCAATATGTGGTTCCGCACGTTCCACCACTTCTCCGTTCATTTCCAATACTAATCGTGAAACACCATGAGCAGCAGGATGTTGAGGTCCGAAATTCAAAGTGAAATTTTTGATTTGATTAAGCTTGTTTTTGCAGATGAATTACGTTCATAGACATTAATATATCCATTAACCGTACGAAAGCAACATTCTTACCATTAGCACGTTAGGTCCTAGACGTAGCTGATGACTAAATACACAGTTAGAGTTATGACTCTTAAAATTGTATTTTTGAGAAAGAAAATTATATGATTAATTTAAATCAATTTCCAACACAGAAAAGTGTAAAATAATTAATTTGATTCTGAATTAATTGTTTCACGTGTCAATAGAACACAATACCACAGCATCATCACCATTTTTTTTCTATCATTAAACACAGATAACATCTATGCTTAACACGTATCACCACGCATCTACTGTCAGTAGAACACATATGATTTATGAATAATATAATATTCAAAAGAGAGAGAGGAGAGATAAAAATCTTGAAAAGTGTGCAAGCGTTGAGCATATCAGCATCTTTTCCCTGCAATAACTATGTGTAATTGTTGCTGCGATTAATTGGAAGCTTAATTTGGAAGGAATAAGAAAATGGCTGCCATGGAAGAACCAATACTCTCAAGACTAAACCGACTGGATAATATTGTAAGTGAATCTATCCTTTTTTATGTTTGTATGTTTTGATAATTACCAGATAGTCTATTGATTGGAGTATTAGTTTTTCTGTGGGTTGGTATCAGATTGTGGCTTCTTGTCTTGTCAGTGTAGTTTAAAATGCAAATATCGATATCTAGGGGTTCAAAGATGAAATTCATTGAAATATAGCATACTGTTTCCATTTAAGATTTAAGAATTGACATAAGAGAACTTGCTTTTTACATCTCTCTTGTTATTTGGCACTCTACCTTTCTCCTAGTAGATTTTTATTTTTATTTATTTATTTATTTATTTATTTTTTTGTCTCCCCCTCCTCTTACTTAGCAAATGGACATGCGGCAAAATGGCCTCTAGAATCTTATTTTATTTTATTTTTTCATTTAAATCTACTCATGGTAGCATATTTATTAACACAAAAATAAATAAATAAAGTACAACTTAGGAGAAGCTGAACTTGACCTCAGGAACAATATTCATATTAGATTTAGGGTATTAGGATTTTTAGTAGAGCTTGTACGGTTCTACAACACCGTGTTAAGTTTTCCCATAACTTAGTGTGAGGCAAATGGAAGCAAGGTCAAGTCGAAGCAAGAATGGTTGAGATCATATTACCCAACGTTGAGGACATGGGGCAAAATGGCCTCTAGACTTTTATTTTATTTTCATTTAAATCCACTCGTGATAGCCTGTTTGTGAATACAAAAATAAATAAAGTACAACTTAAGAAAGACTGAGCTTGATCGCAAGAAAAATATTCTTACTAATTAAAGAATCATAGAATCAATAATGAAAACTAAATTTTCATATGCTCGAGTCATGCATCATGTCATCAAGCGGCTAGTTAGATTGAATCTTCCTTTTTCACACGATTAAACTCAAATTGAGATTTGCTTGGTTTCTTGTAGCCTTTTCATATTCATTATTCATTTCCTCTATTCTTAATACCTACGAAACACAAGTGGCTCATACGACATCTCTATGTTTTCAATATTGTGGCAAATCCTGGTCTCTTGGGTAACGTTTTAAAATTCATTGATACTTGAGTTGTAAAGCGATACGAGTTCTAAATCATTGGGGAATTTAGTTGAAACAACTGGAAGACATCAAGAGCCTTAACCATTCTCCCAAAAGCTCGTGTGCATCGACTTTCTCAAGTGGAACCCTCACAAGTGACGGCCACGCATCATCGGTGGATTACTCGCCAAAAAGGTTGGAGAAGCGTTTCCGGCCCATCAATGAAGTGATATTAGAAGTCGAGCACAAGGGCACGCTCATCGAAAGACTAGTCCATCTGGAGGACCGCATCTTGAAGGTAACACAACGAACACATTCGTTAGTCACTTGAGTAAAAGTAAGAAACTTGTGAACAAAACTGATTATTTTTGTCCTACCAGATTTGTTTGCAATTAGAAGAAGAGCTGGAGGCGGAAAAGCACAGAGACGAGACAGCCTCAGCAGAGAAGAATTCACCTAAGAAGGTCTTGAAGAAGATGCTGAAAACTTGTGTAGGAGGAGGATACAGGAAGCATAAGATCAAAGATTGATACAGACAGTTCTTTTATAAGTTCTTTTACATTATTGTCTAGGAAATGACTGTTTAGGCATATGATGCAAATGTGGTAAAGACGTGAAGTGTTTGAGCATTTTGTGTGTGTATGTGTGTTTGTCTTACAATACTTTAAAGACTATGCTGGTTTACTTGTAGTTGATATTAGTTCTTGTTAGTCGAAAAAGAAGAATCATTTTATCGAGAGACGGATCCGCTCATGTATATGAGAGATCTATTAAAAGTTAGAAAAATACATCTTTAGAAGGAAATTATGCTCGACTTCAAGTGGAGCGCACGTATTAGATGGGGTTTCTTAAGAGACAAAGCGTAAGAAACTGAAATGAATTTGGACCATTGAGATAAGTCTATTTTTTATTTAGTTAAAAATTGTTGAAGTTAATAATTAATTTTATCAGCACGTTTTATGAAACTTCCAAAAGTAAGAAAACAAAAGCTTATTTGAAAGAAAGAAATAGAAAAATGCAGAGAAAATAAGAAATTAAGATTACTGTGAATTATACGAATTGACAGTAAACATAAAACTTTTTTGAAGCCTTCTCCTTTTCCTTTCGACGTTGTTCGACTGCTGTCCTCGTCTCCATACGATTTTGATACTTTCGTAAGGTCTCAAATTGCATATAAAACCTCATTTTTAACCACATATTCTCTCAATCAAATAATTTAATATATAAAACTAAAATTTTACCTACTTTTTAATATCACATTCTCTAAAAAATAATAATAATAATAACTTTTACTAAAAAAATTTACAAATTTATCAGTATAAATAGTTAAATAAACCAAAATACTTATAATCGAAAAATAAAATCACAACATTTGTATTTCATTATGTAACGTTTTATATACCGATTTTTTTCTCTTTTTTTTTTTTTTATTCTCTAAAGGTTCAATTTCCATTTCCATTTCATTTTCATTTTCAATTTTTTTCTTTCTTTCTCATTCATCTACCTCTCTATAAATTAACATTGAGTCAAACATTTTCACTGCATCATTTATATAATAATTCTCCATTTTCATCTTGTACAAATTTGTATATTACTAATCATAGTTGAACGTGCGTTCCATGTTATTTTAAAATACTTTATAAATGCTATAAAAATAATATTTGAAAGATGTGAGAATATAAAAAATATATATATATATAAATTGTTTATGTGGAATGAACTTTTGAACCAAATGAAATAAAAATCAGTATGTAAAAATAGTTTAAATGGTTGAGGAAGTCAATTAGAATAGTTACTCCATTTATCCTTTCGATCTGAAATGAACATCCAATGAATAGAATCATTTCTTCATATTCACTTAATATACATTAAATATATCAATTAAAATTATTTATTATAGATACGCATTATGTCCCCTTTATAAGGTAATGAATGTGGCAAATGTATATTCATCATGATTAAATAGTTGACAAAATAATTAATGATAATATTGTTCAAATGATTAATAAATTAACACATTTTAAAAAACGAAAAAGTGTGGTATTATTGAAATAATTAAATACATATTGAAAAACAAAAAATAAGACATTATTGAAATAATTATATTGTAGTAAAAATAAAATCCTCGAAAAAATGATTCTCATTTGATGTAAAATTTAATATATTATAGAATTGTTGCATTTATAAATCTTCCTCGTCCAAAAAAAATAATTAACAATAGGTACCGATAAAATTACTAATGCGTTCATGACAATTTTTTAAGTTACAAAATTACCCCAATTAAGAAATTAATTAACTACAATAACCATTAATATCAACAATCATTTTAATTGACTGTCTTATATTTTTATTCATTGGATAGGAATTATCAATTTGAAGATACGATCAAGAATTGTTATTTAATTCTACAATATCGAAAGGGTCAAAGGAAGTATTTTCTATTTTTAATATCTTATAAACTTATTAAAATTAATTTTTATTGATTTTATATTAAAGTTTATGAAAACTATTTCCAAAATTTCACACATAAAAATCACTTGTTAATGAAAAAACCAATTTAAAGAAAAATCAATAATTAGAAAATAGTTTGCAAAAAAATGTTAGATATTTCATAGTAATATACCCGGTGTGATATGTTGTTTCGATTAAGAGAATTTTTTTGTCAAACTTTTATATTTGTTGTTTATCTTACTTATTTTAAAATACGAAGGACAATTAAGTCTGTTTGATTCCTCCAAACTGATGTTTTGGTTTCATCAAAGACAAATGTACTAATTAATAGAAAGTTGACTACAAATGACAAAAATTGTTGAGAATACAATTGCAAAAATGAGCAAACTCGAGGACCTTCACAGCAAATAAATTGGTTTGAAGTTAATAAAAAATGTGACGTAAATATAATTATTCTTTTTGTAACCATTATATAAAATAGAATATGTAAAATGTAAATTTATCAAATGATGATTATATTAACATCACAATTTTTTAAAATGTAGGGATTTCTTATGGGCGCAGGCATCCCAGGTATTTCAGTCTTATGGTTCTTCATTATCTACATATGGACTTTTTTTTCTAGGTGCTCATTTTGTATGGGCTTTTAGTTTAATGTTTCTATTCAGCGAATGTGGTTATTGGCAGGAACTTATTGAATTCATCGTTTGGGCTCATAATAAATTAAAAGTTGATCACAAGGAGTTTAGAGCTTAACTCCTTTTTTTTTTTTTTTTTTTCCATTTCGCTTTTCTTGTTTATTTGGGTTTGTAACTATGTGACTAATCTAAGTGCAAGGGCAATCTGATGAAGTATCATCAAATGATTGTACAAGGAAGATATAAGGTAGGTTATAGAAAAAAGAAGAGAAACAAATGATAAATAAAGGAATTTTGGATGGATTGGGTCAGGAATCCAAATTTGGATTCGGTATGAATAAAAGAACTTTTAAAACTACCGTACATTTTAATTGGATTAACGATTCCTAGCTTTTACTTATTTTACTCTCAAATTTTTTTTATTGCATTTTCCCCTCCACCTCCCAGTAATTAGTGCATTATGTCTCTCATGATGGTTTTCGTTTAAGTACTTATGTTGACCCTATGAAAAACATACTTATTTATCCATTATTAATTAAAAAAAATAACAATTACAAATATGAGACGAAATATTTGTCCTTTACTTTAAAGTGTACTGACCTAATTTTTATACAAAAATGGTAATCGTGTATTAATGTAAGGTTGGTGATTAGAATGCGATACAAAAGTTTGAGAAAATAAGTGTGACAATAAATCAAAATTAGTAACCATCAATGCAATTAGAATGCGCAGTATGGGTCTAGCTTATTGATACGTTCCAGAAAACTCTACTTGAATCAATTTTCTTTTTTTATCGACAAAATCCATGCTTCACATCTATAAAAATTTGTGGTGTTGTATACACTAAGTACTTTGTAAATTTCTCAAAAAATGCATCCCCATGCACGAGAAGTGGGCAAGGATTGAACCATAGGCCTTCGGTTCATCGAAATTAACATAAAATGCCTATATTGATCACTTGATCAGAAATGTGATTCCTGTGTTTACATCCAAATAAATGATTTTTTTTATTTTTATTTATTTATTATTATTTTTTTTAAAAATGAGTTTTGAATAGTAATTTTTTTAAAATAATATGTGGTTAAAAAATTAAAAAAAAAATTTACATGCAAAACATTTTAATTTATGAATGTGCGATTGAAAATGAGTTTTGAGAAAAAATTAATTTTGATTTAAAGGATGTCAAAAAGAGGTAAGATGATTTTAAGTTATATTAAACTATTTTCAAACCAGTTATAGTGTTATTGAGGGTCAAAAACGGAACCTATCACCATAGTATGAACCTTAGCCCTCAAAATCTTGGATTTGTCCGAAATGCTTTTGGATTTTTTATTTTCAAGAAGAACAAAATTAATAATTAGAAATTATTTTAAATTGTTTATTAAACTCTCACTTGTATATCATAAGCCAGTATTTGGACTTCATTTTTTTGAAAATTTATTTTCAACAATACATTGTCTCATAAAATAATGTTACACGTAAATTTAAAAAATTTTCTTATTTTTTATATAAATATTCTCCAAAAATTACTATTTTAAAACAAATTTTCCTTCGAAATCTAAATTTAATGGATCCCAAACATGTACTAAAATAATGTGTGTTTCGACTCCATCAAAAAGCAAGTTAATTTATTCAATAATGCATATTTTTTTGCATGTTGAAGCGGGTCCATTTTCTGTCATCTTGCATGATAAACTGCAGACAAATTACATTGCCACAGCCATTGTTATATGACGTTATTAAAAAAATAACCTATAATTCTATCACAATCTGACAGAATATATATATTTAAAAAAAAAAAAAATCCACACCAAACATGGGCGTACGTGTGTGAAGTTCCAAAATATCTGGGGCCCATAATTCTAAAAATTGTTTTTTCCCCCTTCTTTTCATCTATTTGAAAGTAGGGTTGAGCTACACGAACAGTATCCGTGACAGTCCCTATGATAAGAGCCAAATAGGTGTCCTATCATAGGAGCCTGTCACGGCCCCTATTCGTTTAGAATTTCCCTTGAAAGTATTGGACAAAACAACTCGTACCTTTCCATTTGAAACAAAAAGATTTAACTTCTATTTATGTTATTGCTTGAATTTCTCTATGAGCAAACAAATGTGTAGTGATAAAATTCTCATATGTTATTTAAGTTAATGGTTCAAAGATTTCTCTAGCATTGGGAGACTTTTTGTATTGACATTGGCTCTGATATTGATTTTGTAGTATTGGCCTATATTTAACTTCTCCGGAATTTGATTTTAGTTTCAGACCAACCCACCCCTACATGCCATGGGGAGTCCATATTACCGGGGCAAATTCAGGATACTCAGTTAGCACAGGCGACCGTCAATCGTCGACCGCAACAAAATATTAAGATTTGATGCCAATTTTTTTGCAAAAAAAATACATTTTGAAATAATGATTTGATGGAGAATGTATTGTTAAAAATAAGAAAAAGTTTTAAATTTGTGTTTAATATTATTTTATTGAAGAATTTGTGGATGAAAAGAAAAGAAAAAATATATTTTGAAAATAATGAGAATCAAACAAGGCCTAAGATTTAAATATAACAATTATTTTGTTCAAATTAAACATATATAATATTA